TTTTGTAAAAATTTTAATGTACTATGTATGATTAACATTCAATTCACCATTTAACAAATGAAGTACAACTTAAGAACCAAATTTAGCAACTGAAATAAATGTAACAGTTAGACTGTGCTGCATTTTAGCAATTATTACGATAATTCATGCTGTCAAATGCAGCTGTTTTTGCAGCGTAATTCTCGGCGACATATTTTACTCCTTTTTTTTTCTCAGTTTAATATACTTCTCTTTGCTCTTTGAAAGACATCTATGATGAGTAGGGGAAGGGGGAATGCTTTAATTCTTTTGTATAATATGATTTAACCTAGAGTTGTTCATTTGTGGGCAGAACACTTGTGGGGGTGGAGTCAAGGTTGTCATTGCGCTGACGTGTATAGTTCAAAAATGGCTGCAGTGGACCACAGCATTATGAGGCCGTATAGCATTATGTAGTAGAGCAGTTCTATAGTATGCAAAAAACAAGGTCAGGTTCATTTTTATGCTATACTTGTTTAACTTTAATGAAATAAAACTTTCAGCATCATTCATCACACAAACTTACTATTTTCGAGTTGAAAGTTACACGGTGAAAAAACTAAATTAGGCTAGTAACATTTGCTGAGGTAACAGATGATTAGCATTTTTCTGTTTATCCAGAATACTGATTGATTGCCTTTCATTGTGTAAATTTCCAGCCACATGGGATCTACTGTGTCTTTCTGTGGTCTCGATATGGCTTTGATTCAGCATGATAATGCCAAAAGGCTGAGTGGAGGGCCGATTGAACAGTACTTAGAGTAGCATGGTGCTGCCGTGCCCATTACCGGCACAACCATAAGATTTCAGATTTTCCACAGAACACAAAGATGTAGCCACGGATTGCCACCCACCAACCAGGATGCAACAGGATGTTTCCAGATGGTAAGGATTTACGTTCCCGTTCGTAGCCCTGTGTCACTTTGAGTGTACGGTGGTTTATTGGCTATGCTAATCTTGCTGACTTTGCAAACACACAGGAATTTAGCATTAACCATCTTGTATAGACCCATCAGAGATGTCTAAGCAACGTGTGCTTATCTTGGATTTCTCATTCATATTGGTTTTGTATCACTAGTCTGATCAAGGTCAGAAAACTCAGTGCCCTGAGTTGAAAGCCACCCATGTAGCCTAGTAATTGCGTTATTTTTCAAGAGCTTAGCCAAGAGCTGATGTCTTCAGACGCAAAAGATATGCAAATATAACGCTTGCTCCTTATGAGTACGAGCACTCGGTAAATCTAAATCTATTATCTCTAGTCTAGGTTCTTTAAGGAGACCGGCTGATTTAATTCAACCTGGCTGATATTAACAAGGAAGGCTGGGTTAGTGGGTGTGGTAATTCTAATGGAGGGGAGGCACTGCTTTGCTGTGATGTAGAAATGGGAAGAAAGTCCCAACAGCCTGTTGAATTGCTTGCAGCAGAGACTTCAGTGACAAGTAATGCATGTCTGAACTGGCAAGGAAAATGCAAATTTGTTTACTTGTCTCCTTTAAAGAGTGTGCTTTACACAGTTTGTACATTGTATTATCTGGCTTATTTGTGGCATACGGGTGAAACTAAAACCTTAGGAAGAATTCCAACTGGTATATTACCCACTTCTGTTGTCTTTCTCTGTTTGACTTAATCATTTTTTATTTGACTTAATAAAATGTAGGGAGACTGTATTGTCCTACCATGTACATCACTGCTTGGCTTTTAGCTTCAGTGTACTGTGTTAGCAGTGCTGCTGAGTTTCTCAGCGAGTTTGCTCTCTACTCTTATTTTGAACGAAATGTCTGTATTTGAAACCGTCTGAAGACAGAGCTGTCTGTAGAGGCTGCATTTCATGTATAAGTCGTAGGCTTTGTCTGTATGTGATGGTCTATGCAAACGTACGGTGCGGGTCACCAAAGAACAAGATTTCACACAGCATATGTCTGGATTTAGAGGACATTCAGCTACAGCTCAACCAGCCAAACAGAATACTCCCAACAAGATGTTAAATTTCGAAACCTGAGGTCATTGGATGCATTTGTGATGCGATTCCTGTCGTCACTGTGCTACGGAGACTGCTGTTGAAAGAGAGAGGCATAGAGCATAACTCTGATTTTGTGTTGCTTATAGCTATACAAAAGTGCTTTTCTGCCTGTAGTTTTCCACTGCATCACTGCTCTATCCCAGCTGACTAATGTAGCACAGCTAGCTAATGCACTTCATTTAGAATCAGCTAGATTTTAATGATTTCATTTTTAAGATACATTGCACTCATTTACACTAACAACTGCTTAATTCTAAGTAGGTTATTCAGTGTGGTATCGGACTTGGTAGCAGCGAGTACTAAAAAGTAATGTATTTGTACTCGGTCTGAAGAAAATGGTATCAATGCATTCTTTATACATATGTCATGTCCAGATGATCTGGAAAAATAAAAACTGACAGAAATGATAGATGTTTTTTGGAGACCAATGACATAGGCATGTTTTTTTTAAAACAGCTGCCTAATTTGCCAAACAGCAAAGTAAAATATACCCAGCCCTGTTTTTGTTATAAAATTTGCATGAAAGTATCTAAATTTCACACATGCCTCAGACAAGTTTTTGACCAAAGAATATCTCTAAATGAACACCCCTAGTTTTTACAGCCACCATTGAGAGGGTTTGGTTGAATTGGACCTATTCTCTCTGTCACTCTGTCTCTCTTTTGCTCTCACTCACTCACTCATTTACTCTGTCCCCCTCAACAAATGTGTGGTAATTGAACTTTTCACTCTGGTTTTAAACGATATTGTTGTCAAAGCCCAGATTAATAAAAGTGAGTGTTGTTTTTGAATGAGGTTCCACAGGCACAGGGCTAAATGATGTAGCTCAGCACAGGATTCTCAAGAGTATAAGTTGACTGCACACACAGTAAAATGTACTATGCATTCAGGGTCTGATTTACCACAGCGTGAGTGTGGCAGTGCTACTGGTATCATGGGATGTGCAGTGGATGTTTTTTCAGACCAGATGCCCCTGATTACAGGGGTTAAGTAGACTGAGCAATTGGACACAAATATATAGCATGCAGGTCAGCAGAGTGCTTGCATAGCACTAACATTTAACACACTCTGAGCTTAAATTTTGTAAGTTCTTGGAACTTTGGTTCACTTGTGCTCTGATAAGTTGGAAAAAAAAGTTATTTGAAATAGTTTGATTTTTTTAAATAATCTAACTCTCAAGATATTGCTGAATGTTAGTAAAGTAGTTGAACTTGCTTGCTCTGGTTTGTGTTTAAGCATTGCTGAGAGTTGAAGGCCTGTGGTTGATTTGATTTAAAGTGTCTGCTGATTCATGTGATATGACTGAGGAATTCATTCAGAACTCAACCAAACCATTGTACCTGATCATATGTGGAGGAAATGCTGAAAAACTGTGTGCTGTAAAATTGTTTCACATGCTAGCAGTCAGTTGTTTGAAGTATCTTAATTTAGATCTGAATTAGGTGTGTTTGTGTGTTAGGGATGCAATAAATATTCAATAATGTTTAATAAATTCAATAATTAAAATATCAGAAAACAGACAGTCCATTAAATTAGCTGATTAAGCACCAGCTCCTGGGTAGATTGGTTTTGAGCGGCTTGAAAACCTTCTTGACTCCCCCGTTTACTCACAGGTTCACCAAAAAGTTGCTTCACTTTTTAAAATAATGGTTAAAAAGGTGCTGCTGTTTTCTCTGCTTTCATGCACCTCTCACTGCTGTTCAAACAGAGCTGCAACTTAGCATTTTAAAGCAATTTGCTATGAAAATCATTTATTTATGAGTGATGTTTTTTTCATTACCTTGTAGAATTTTAATTAGGTTTTATTAGAAAGCAAAATAAATAAACAAAATTTATGTGGTCTTGCCAAATAGTAGCTCTAATAATAACAGTAATTTATTTAGGATACTTGTGATATAATAACAATAATGAATGCTACTTCTGGTACCACTAATAATAATAATAATAATAATAATAACAACAAAAATGATTAACTACTGTAGCACACCATGTGCTACCCTGGGCTCATTACACCAAACACAAACAATGGACTCAAAACCAAAAACTGGCCACTTTAATGGCCTCTGAACTAGACTTTTCAGTCCTTTTCTTAAAATCAAGTTTCTCAGCTCCACAGTCTTGCCGCTCTCCTCTCAGCTCTTTTTAAAGGCACTCACGCTGCCATCGCCAGATCAGCAGGCTGTCATTAAGGGCAACACCTGAGCTGAGAGGGACAAACAGTTTGTTGCTCCACCTCCCTGTCGCTGCCCCTGCTCCCCAGTTTGGCCACCCAGATCGAATGTGAGGTGCAGTCCAACGGCCTTGCTACGGAACTGGAGGTGGGGCCTGGGTGGAGTTTGGATCTCCTGTCCCCCCTTTGTGCCTCTTGTGGCCGTCGTCGTTGCTTAAAATATTAGTAAGAATAATAATAAGCTCATAATACTAGTAAGTGTTATAATAATAATAGGAAGAAGTATTTTTTTTCAGTAGTATGTCATGAGCTTTTCTTATTCTCATAGAATATTTGAATGTTTTAGGTAATATTTGAAAATGAAAATATTTAGTAGTTGCAACCCGTGTGTGTCTGTGTGTGTGTGTGTGTCTGTGTGTGTGTGTGTGTGTGTCTGTGTCTGTGTCTGTGTGTGTGTGCGTGTGCGTGTGTGTGTGTGTGTGTGTGTGTGTATGTATGTGTGTGTGTGTGTGTGTGTGTGTGTGTGTGTGTGTGTGTTTTGTAGGAGTTTGACACCTCCACGTGGTTTCCTCCTCTATTCTGAGTCTCCCCTCCCCCTCTTCCTCAGAGCAGAGTAAAATTGCACACTGTGTGTGTGTGTGTATGTGTGTGTGTGTGTGTGGTGGAATGGCAGAGGTTAAAGATGTGTGAGTGCAGAGCTTTGGCCACTCCCTGAGCCAGCCAAGATTTTCTTTTTTTATCCTTTATCTCCTCCTCCACCCGGCCCTCTGACTCGCGCACGCTCGCTCTCTCTCTCATTCTCTCACTGACTCTGTGCGCTTTGTCTGCATGGGCAGACGTGTGCAGGGCTGAGAGAGAGAGAGAGAAAAAGAGAGGGCAGGATTAAGACACTGTCTGTAGAAGAGGAAAGAGACAGGCACACTGAGAACATCTAAGAGAAGAAGAGCATCTGATCTGCAGAAACACAGAAAGAAAGAGAGAGAGAGAAAAAGAAAGAGCAGCTTTCTGAGAAGAAGACGTGCACCCGCAAGAAGACTGCATACACACACACACTCGCGCGCTCCACACACGTTTGTGTAAGGGGAATGGAGGACAGTTCAGTGAGCATGGATCCAGCCTGCAATTCTACTGCTGCACCCGTGCTTAACAACCATTGTGTGGGTAAGAGAGCGTTGGGCTTGGGGACGTTTGTGTAAGTGTGCTCCAAGTTGTAACTGTGTGTGTGGCTTCTGTTTGCCATTTGGTCTGTTCCTGGGTTTCCCCTTGTCATCCTGCACAGGAACTACCGAGAGTGATCTCTAGATACGGCACACCGGCATGGCGTGTGTGTGTATGTGACCAACAGAGTGCAGGCTATAGCTTCCTAACATGAGTAGTGTCTGCCTCTTCTCTTTGAATTGGCCATAGGACTTATAAATGATTAAATTGATGCGATTAATTAATTAGCTTTTGTTAAAGCTTTATTAGTGCACAAAGTATGCCTCAGCAGAATGTTTTATCACTTTTCGTAATAACCTTAATTTCATCACGTGAATACTGGGCCCACAAGAACCTGAATATAAAAGTCATGATTTCCATGGAGTGAACAGTTTCTTGTTTTCATCACTGATGTCCAGTGAGAGCGACAGTGGCTGTATTCTGTTTTGCCGTTTTGTTAGTTTCTGTCCAGCTTGCACAGCGTAGTCCGCTGAATTACTGATATGGCTGGCTTCAGTTTTGCTGGTAAATGATACTTTAGAGTCGATGTACCTCAGTGATAAATCGTTGGCATTGGCATAGTTGGAAATAATTAGTTTTATCATGAGAATCATCAGTGGAACTTGCCCTTTACAAGCTGTATTTGAACTAGAGGGCTACAGTCACAGAGTCATAGCAACAGCACATTGGTATCAGGCTCAAATTATGGATGACACATGATCAAAATGTGTTAACACTGTTAAAAAGTGGCATTAAAACATTCTCATTAACGTGTTATTTCATGTTAATCCATTGACTTTGACACCACTGATTGGCTACGTACAGTACCATGCTAAATCAGAACCACACTTCATTTATTTAATTTACAGTTAAAATGGCCAATACATACAAGTAGTTTTTTAAGGAGTTATCTCAGGAGATTTAATATAAGATGGTCCACTTGCATAATGTCGTGGAAAGTAAAAAGAAAATCAGGGAAAAACAGGAGTTTCCAAAGCTAGAATTCAAAAATTTTAAAAGATACAGAGAAAGTCTGACTCAAAACAACTGTGCAAACCCTGATTTACAGTGATTAAAGCGTTCGTCTTTGAGAGAGAGGGGAAAATCAAGTTCCACTCTTGCTTCTTCCACTGTGAGAAGACAATGCTATGGGTCTGAAAGGATATAGAGAAAACAAAATCAAAGCAAAAATGTTCTCAGAACAATGGACTGACCACCCCTCAGTCCACACCTCAACATCATTAAACGTGTTTGGGATTACCTGGATTGTAAGAAGCAGAAAATGCAACCAAGTTCTAAGACTGAACTTTGGTGGTGTGGAAAAATATCCCTGTAGATATGACTGAAAGCAAGTTTCCTGAAAAAAAGAAAACTGTAATAATGACAAAAGATGGACACTAAATATTGAAAATGTTGATTTCATAATTACTTGTTGAGACTTCTGTGTAGTTTTCTGTTAAATACGTTTTCAGCTTTTTTCCGATGCTGAAAAATGAATAACGTGTTTTAATGGACGTTCTGACTGGAAATAAAATACATTAAGGGTTTTCTCTGACTTTTGAACATAACCGAATTTCTTAGCTCTTCTGGACTGGATTCTGTATACAAGCAGATGATTTTTCCTGCATATTGCATAGTGCATATGTACGTGTGTTGTGGCTTTGGCGGGAAGCCACTTCTGCTCCCCCATTGAAGGTCTGCTGTTTGTGGTATCTCATTCATAGCTAGCTGGCTTGAGGCGGCATGGGGGACTGTCTCTGCTAAACTGTGTGGGTGTCATGAGGACTGTGTGGTGCATGAGCTGTCTGACTGACTTTCATAGCAGAGGATATGAAACAGACACACAACTGCGCACACACACACACACACACACACACACACACGCAAGCATGGCGGTGAGTTCATGGTCCGGTGTGGACAGGGTCCTGTAGCCGGTTAGGGTGTTACTTCCTCTCTTTGTAATAGCGTGGCGTGTTATAGGAACTGCCGGTCAATGAGTAACCACTGCAGCACAGATCTGTTAGACAGTGTATGTGTGTCTCTGCATATTTGCTTATGTGAATTTTGGCGGGAGTGTGTGTGCTCTGCTAACATTTACAGCTCATTTGCATGGTACGATAAACCTGCAGGTTACAGCTTAGACGATTCTGAACAATTCAGTCCAGAGCCTTCTTTTTACTGCACTGTGCTCTTACCAGCATTCTTTCTTTTCCTCTTTTCTTTAATCCTCTTGCCTCTTTCTTTCAGGTTCAAGTTCTTGCTCACTCCCCTCCCCCTCTCTGAGGTTCCTCCCTCCTCTCCTCCACCTCCTTCTTTAATTAAAAACAAACAAAAACACATGGAAGCAAAAAAAAAAAGCTCATAGCCCATGTGGTGTGACAGATAGAGAGACAGAGTGCAGACAAACAACAGTTTTACTACCAGAGGTTAGGGCTGATCCAGTGCTAATTGTTTGTACTGGCTCTGCTACTAAACTAAAAAAATTATCCTAAACCACAGAATTTAGTAAGAGTTCTGTGAGAACGGAGTGAAATTTGTTGCATCTAAGTGCATTCAGTATATTCTGAATAGCATGGCAATAGTAACACTGCTAAAATCTCTGGAGCACCGCAGTTAAAAGGGGACGTACAAAGTAAAAATGCAGCGGTTAATTGAAAGTGCAAGTGATGGAATATTAGTACTGTTGTGATAGTTTTTGGGATCAATAGTGGCCTGGGAGAAAAAATATATTTTTATTATAATTATATTTTTTTAGCTTATTGACTGAGATTGAATGACATTTTCTACATTAATGGGGATGCTTTACAAAATATTCAAAATAACATTTTACTTCCTTCAAAATATTAACTATGCGTAAACGTGTTAATGCTGTCAAGTCAAGATCAGTGTTCGCTGTTTGACCAGCGTGATAGTGGCATAGTTTTATAGCTTATTTTTTATTGTTTTATTGCATTCATAACAATATTTTTGAGCCATTTTTTGTCTTTTAAAAGCTGAAATGGTGAAAATCAAAGCACTTTTGCCCTTTGCTCCTGGTTGGTTGTGACACTGGTATTGGCAATGAGGAAAGGCTCTAACCGCACAGCTAGTCGTTTGCATTGGCTCTTACACTAACCTAAAAAATGTTCCTAAACCACAAAATTTGTGAGAATTCCGTGAGAGCGGAGTGAAACTGGGTGCAGCTACAAGCATTCAGTAAATGAATAACATTACAGTGTTAATACTGCTCTACAAAGTTCCTTTGTTAAGAGGGGGAAGTACAAAGTGATAATACACAAGCAGTTGGGTTAATTGACTGTGCCAACGCAAGAGTAATTGGAACTGTTGTCAGAGTATTTCATCTTTGTGTTGGCCTGGGGGAAATTATACTTTTATTAAAGTGATTTTTGATCTCATTGACTGATATCAGGGAGCACTTAATGCATAAACAGGGCCACTATTAATATAAAAAGAATAGTCAAAATATTATCTTTGTCAGAATGCTGTTCATGCGTGAGTGTGTGACTTCTGTCAAGTCAAGATCAGTGTTTGTTGGTTTTATGTTTATATTGATTGGTTTTTGGCCCCTGTGCGTGTGTGTTAAGGGGCAGAAGTGTTGAATGTTGGGGCACTTTTCCATTTTGCCTCTGGCTATTTATGACACTGCTATCAGTACTGAAGAAAAGCTTTGAGCAAACAGCTGGTTGAGTTCATTTCTCTCTACTGAGCTGTTTTTCTGAAATCAGTCATTCACACTTTCTTTTTCTTGTCATCACTATTTATAGGTACGCTGAAAAACATGACACAAAAAGACACACAAAAAAAGTTGAGGGTAGGACAAGCACACAGGTGCAAGAAGCCAGTAAGGAGAATCCCCTTTTGAAAAAGTGTTTGGCAGAGTATCAGAGTGCCCTGGGTTTGTGGGCACCTGTGAGATTTTTTTTCTATGTATCTGTAAACGAGTGTAAATGTGTCTTCTTTGCACCACAGTTTTTGTCTCTGTTTTACAATAGATTTCTCAGTCTTATAAGATTAAATCATTCAGCTTTGATGGCAGTTATATGAGTTGTATGGTCTGCATCAACATTCTGTATGAATGAAAAAATGCAAATAGCAGGACAGTAAAGCTGTTTTATGTGTTCTGTTTTGATCGTAGTGCTGGAAATCGCTTAGGGCGTCCAGAGAAATTCTCTGTATGATATTACATGATGCATTGTAAAAGACTATGTCAGCAATCGAATTGAAACAGTTTTCGCCTGACTACAAAATTAGTCAGCCAATATTTGGTGTCTGAAATTTGCTTCTTTAGTTCTTAAGTTTTACACTGGAACTACAAGGCTAATGTAGCTAAGTAATGGAAGCATATACCAAACCACTTATTGTTGTGCAGATTGCATGCCTAAATCATCACACACTTGCCTCAAACTGAGTAAATTTGAGTAGATGTGGGTTAGGGCTGAATAGTTGATTCAACAAAGTCAACTACATTAAAACATATGAAAAAGAGTGGATTTTTTGTAAATCCATTGTATAATGTTAATATCTGCATTAATTAAGAAAGATTTCAATACATTTTATACATGCGGAGGAAAGACTGTCTTCTGTCATTTCACTGGATCATAAGAAGAACTTGCTTGTAGCACAGACGGAATGTTGAATGACGGCTTCATGAATAGAGATAAACACCAGAAAGCTAGGCCCACGAAAGCCTAGCGCATTACAATGCACAATATGTGAAAGCGGAGATCGGCAGCTCAACAGCAGTGCAGACTGCAGAACCAAATCAAGTGTGCTTCACCATGTTTTCTGCTACCACTGATAGTGGGTAAATGTTTTAACTGAGTAGCATGAGTGGGTAATGTTAGTGAAAAACAGAATGTCTCATAGAAGAGATGAACGGTGCAGTGATGTTAAGCACAGTGTAGTCAAATTGATGCCATTACTGAGGAAGCAGCTTAATAATGAAATAAGAAGGCTCTAGACTA